TTCTGGATTTCTAATGACACAAATATTAGATCTTATAGTCCCTGAGGTTTTGTTCATTCTCCTCTGTTTTCAGATTGGAGAATATCTATTATTGTTTCTTCAAGTTACCATTTTTTCCTCTGTTCTCTCTATTCTAATATTGAGCCATCCACTGAACTTTTATAATGGTGGTTCTAAAAGTTTTCCATTCTAAAATTTCCATTCGGTTCTTCTTTGTATCTCCTGTTCATTTTGTGAGATTTTCTATTTCTTTGCTGTAGCTTTCTAGTTTTTCATTTAATACTTAAGTTTTAAAATAGTCATAATTATTTGTTGATGTATTTTTATGATTACTTGAAAATTTTTGTCACATAATTCTAACATCTTTTTCATCCCAGTGTTGGCAGTTATTATCTTTTTTCACTCAGTTTGAGAGCTTCCTGGTGATTTCCAATTGAAACCTAGATATTTTCAGTATTCCATTAGGACTCTGAAACTTACATAAATGTTTTAGTTGCTTTTCTCTGACACTGTTCCAACTGCCTCAGTGCTGCCGGCAAAGAGTCCAGATTTCTAACTCTGCTTCCAATGAGACACTGGTGGAGGTGAGGGGCTCTTAGTGTTGGGGGGCATGGGAATGTGGGCTTCCTGCTAGGACTGGAGGGGTAGGAGTGTGTCCACTGATATCTTGAGTGGGGACTGCCTAGTTATTGCCTGGAAGGAAAGAAAGTTTCTGATTCCTTATCTAGCCTTCTCTGATACTACCAGGGATATGGGTGTGCCTTTTTATAGCCTGGCAGGGTCAAAAGTTATATCTTTCATTTGTGGTGTTCTGTGGCAGGAGGGCAATTATTTTCTAAAAGATTTCTGTCTTGCTAGAGTGCCCCTTTCCTGGTCCCATGGCTAGGGAAAACAAGATTTTTCTGGAACTCTTTAAGTTTACAACTGTTAGCATTTCTGGGTTGGTGGTTTCTCCAGCAACCAATCTCAGATGGGGGTGGAAGGGAAACCAGGGAACTCAGTTATGCCCTTCTTTGCCATCTAAAATCTCAAGCCTGTATGCCTTCTTCTTTCCATTTTTCAGTCTTATATTTATTTTACATACATTGTCCAGAGTTTTAAGTTATAATTTGTAGGAGTAGGGAAAGTATATGTATTCCAACTTCCTGAAGCATAAATCTTATCCTCTCAGTTTACATGCGCTTCATGTATTTTACATTAACCAGTGTTAGAGCATATCACAGCTTTGATATGTTTGTGGAACAATATAAATTACTTTAGAATGGGTCTAATGAAAAGGCTGAATTTTTTTTCTTGATGTATCATGCTGCATTTTAATATCATTTAAACTAAAAATTAATGTTATGTCCTTGGATTAAATACAAAACTTAGAAACAATTACAGACTAGTAGTTAGAGAACTAGATTCCAGTTGAGTCTTCCACTGTCCAGCTCTGTGACCTTGGGCAGATTTCTAGGATCTCAGCATTCCCACCTGAATTCAGCATGTGGGCCTCATTAGATAATCTCTAAGATTCCTTTTAACTCTAACGATGTTTTCATTGTATCAATTCTATTATTTTAAAAAATATATAGAGCCAGGTGTGGTGGTACTACCTGTAACCCCAGCTTTGGGAGGCTGAGGTGGGAGGATCGCTGCCATTTTAAGGCCAGCCTGGGCTACACAGTGAGGTCAAGGCTAGCCTTAATGACATAGTGAGACCCTGTCACAAACAAACAGGCAAATAAACGTGTGTATATCTGTGTGTGTAATTTGTATATCTAGACTTTCTGTAATAGGTTTGAAATGTTGGTTAAACCAAGTAAAATTCTCACAGTTAGATAAAACAAATAAAGATAGCTGTAATATATTGAATGTTACCATGTTCTAGGCACTACAATAAAGGTTCTGTAAATAGTACTTCATCTAATCCTCTAAACAGTACACTGAAATAGATGTTACATCCATTTTTATAGATGAGAATATTGACTCAGAAAGATTTTTAAAAATCTGAAAATATTTTGTTGTAAAGATATATTTGATTCCAAGTCTGATTCCAGAGCTGATGTTTGTAACAACTTTCATATATTCTTTATTATTTTTTTGGCTTCTATTCAAGGAGGAAATTGATAGAAATGGGATATTAAAGCAAAGATTTAGAGCAGCTAAGACATATATTTTGTTTTTAATTTCTCTAATTATTTTGAATTCTTTTTTGATAATGTAAATTATAAATACAGAAAATAGATGCATGTAGCTAGTTCTGTTTATGCTTATTCTGTCACCTATCAGACATAAGAAGCATTATCTTTGAGAGGTAAAGAGATACACTGAGGATTGTTAACTGTCATTTTTCAGGAAGGAAAATTTAATTTGCCAACTTTCCATAAACTTTATAGTATCTCAGGACCTTGAAGAAATATATTACCTTTATGTGCAAGGTCTACTCAGTTACAGAGAATGGATAAGGAATGATCTGTAAGACTATTTGAGCTAATCAAAAGATAAAGGTCAAGAAGAAATTAAGAAATAATGGAAAAAGAATAGAGTCAAACTTAAAACTATGAAATAATTTAAGCAGTTTAACATGATACTAGTTCCTAATAATATTTCATTAAAATATTGTTTAGTTTTAAGTAAATTCACCAAGGATGCAATATAAATAAACTCTTGAATTCTCAGCAATTTGTTGAGATCTCATGCTTAGAATCAAAGTTGTGTTGAAAAATATTTATTTTCTTAATTGAGATCAATTCTATACATCTGTAGAGATGCCTGGTATATATTTATGTGCCAAAAGACCTAAAGAATTGATAAGATTATAATTAACATAGAATGGTAAGAATAGCACTTATAAGAGGCCAGAACTACATTTATCCTAATTTTATCTTCTTCTTTCATTGTGAAGTCCCTCTAGCTTTCCACTGGGCTCACTCTGTGAGACTGTTAATATCCAGTATTCCTGTGGAAGTTATTCAAATTTCATACTACTCTTCAAGAGAACTAATTGTGACATAAAGAGTTGCTGCAATATCATTTCTTTACAAGGAGTTAGGAAATTTGGTAATAAGCTCACTACTATCGTTCTGATTATCTGTGCTTTCTGGGAAAATGATTTTATCTTCAGAAAGTTACCATGAGTTTGATAGAGAATTGGTTCATAGAAGTTTTATTTTTGCAATAAACCCCTTGTGTGGAGAGGGCACTGTAGTGTAGAGAAGCAACTTTCTAATTATTTTTTAGTACTTACTGAAACTAAACAGTTACCTGGTTCAAAATATTATCTTATATAGATAGTATTATCTTATATAAGTCTTGTATGGGACAGATTAAAAACTGTTCAATTCTGCGTGGGTTGGAAATAGGAATAGGGGTACAGCTTTGTCCCCTGGTCACCCCACTGAATTAGAGGGGAGCACAATTTGAAAAACTACCAGTGCATATAAAGATCTGTAGATTAGGAATCTGAAGACCTTGAGTCCCAATCCTGTCATCAATAAGATGTAGTAATGAATCTCTATGGGTGTATATTTCCTCATCTGTGAAAGAGATTGAAGTAGGCCTAAGTTCAAATAGTCAAGGGAACCATTAGTCACTATATATAAATCACAGAAATTTTGTACTTTATTCATTGTCTTTTCCAAAATTATATGTTTACCGTAGGATAAAATCTGCACACCTACTTCAAAATTCTAAGTATCAGGGTTTTTTTTCTATATCCTCAAAAATTTAAAAGAAATCTATAGCTCTGGTAGAGTGCTTGCTTGGTACGACTGAAGCCCTGGGTTTAACTTCTAACACCGGAAAAATCAACAACAAAAATCTTAAAAAAAAAAAAAAAAAGTCGTTCTGAGAAAATGGCAATATAAATACAAAAACATAAAATTACCCTTTTCTAAGAAATTTCATCATTTATCTTACTCCACTTTAAATAATCATTGCTTTTTCATTGTTCCATTCAGCAGGCATACTGAATGCCCACTCCCTCACAGGTATTGAGTTCAGTATGGAACTAGAAAAGATAACAAAAAATGTCCTCTCAAATACAAAAGGTCAGATGTCCTTGACAATGTGCTCCTTCCAACAGAGCCTGTTGACTGTGTGTGATACTGCAGCCTTTCTAATAATAGGGATGGTGCTACAGATAGATATCTTTTTCAAAACCAAACGAAGTATGAAGTGGTACCCAGAGAGAAATATATATTCAATATAACTGTTTTCTCGAAGCAGAATGGCTTTGTTGTACCTGATCTTTGATCAACTTGAGCAAAGAATGTTTAGTTCTATGGAGTAGGAAAGGCTTTGCTTTCCTGAGTAGGCATCTCTCAAACAGGAAGATGGTTCCACTGCCAGGAGGAAGCTTTTCTCTCCAATGCCACCCACATTACCTGAGTGTTTACTGGCTTCTTGCAATGGATTGGGGGTCAAGAGAGAGCAGAGTGTTCAACGCAGATGCCAAAAGGGGCTCTGAGGATTTAGAAGGGAATTGTGAGAGGCACACCCTCCCCTGTAGACTTAGACCCCAGCTGTGACACTAGCAAGTCCTTGGGTGTGGGTGTCTCCCTTTGTTATTCAGGCTGGTAGATCTCCCAGCTCCATTCATACCCGCAGACCCACTCACTCCCCAAGATGGAGCCGCCATCCACCTCCTACTCTAGACATGGCCACTCTCCCACACTCACCCAACTGTTGACTCGCGTCCAAGGCCACCACCATCACCCACCCCAACACTCTCCCAGGAACTGGCCTCTCCCCCACCACCAGTCCCCGCCCCTCTTCTGAGAGCACCCAATGGGTGGAGCCGGGGCGGCGGTGGGCGGGGCCTGAGGCAGGCCCATTTAAAGAAAGGCAGAGGGCGAAAGGAGGCGAGAGAAGAGAAGAAAGAGAAACCTGGGGGTGAGGCGCCGTCCAATGACAAAGCCCAAGGGTGGGCGCCGGCCGCCATCTTGATCCGGGCGGCCCGAGCTCCGAGGCGTCCTCCGCCCTCGGAGGGGGAGGGGCAGCGGCCGGGCGAGAAAAGTAGGGAGACGCGCGGCGCGGGAGGCGCCCGCACAGCCGCCGAGCCGGACGCGGGCGGCGACGGCCCCGAGCGGCCTCCGATGCGGCGCAGCGTGAAGAGGCGGCGGCGCCGACCCCCGGCCGCCCGGGGCGGTGGCTTCGGGGCGGGAGGAGGGGCCGGGCTGGACGCGCGGGAGGAGAAGGTGGTGTACTCGCGCTCGCAACTGTCGCTGGCCGACAGCACCAAGGCGCTGGGCGACGCCTTCAAGCTGTTCATGCCCCGCAGCACGGAGTTCATGAGCTCGGACGCGGAGCTCTGGAGCTTCCTCTGCAGCCTCAAGCACCAGTTCTCCCCGCACATCCTGCGCAGCAAGGACGTCTACGGCTACTCGTCCTGCCGGGCCCTGGTGCCCGACCCCCCGCCGCCGCCCGCCGCCCCCCCTTCTCCACGGCGCCCGGGCCCCCACGGAACGCCACGCGCCGCGCCTCTTCCCACGGCGTCCCCCGGCCGCGCCGCTC